TAGGGTCTGCCCTGTTGTCCCCGGATCATTCGCGTGGCCCTCCTCTGGACCCTCTCAATGTTGTCCACATCCCTTCTGAAGTGGGGCGCACAGAACTGGACACAGTACTCCAGCTGTGGCCTGACCAGTGTTGCATAGAGGGGGAGGCTCACCTCCTTGTCCCTGCTAGAGATGCACCTGTGGATGGATGACAAGGTGCGGTTAGCCCTGCCAACCGTGACCTTGCATTGTTGGCCCATGTTGATCTTGGAGTCAGTAATGATTCCAAGATCCCTTTCTGCTTCCGTGCTTTCAAGAAGGGCATTTCCCATCTTATAAATGTGCTGCTGGTTACTACTGCCCAAGTGCAGCAGCCTGCACTTGTCAGTATTGAAGCGCATCCTGTTTTTGCTAGCCCACCCCTGTAACCTACCCAAGTCTTGCTGCAGTCTTTCCCTCCCTACTGGCGTGCTTACCTCACCCCAAATTTTGGTATCATCAGCGAATTTAAACAGGGTGCTTTTCACCCTGTCATCCAAATTGCTGATAAAGAGATTGAACAGCATGGGCCCAAGAACCGAGCCCTGGGGGACTCCGCTGCCCACTTCTCCCCAGGTCAAATATGACCCATCACCCTCTGAGTGCGACCCTTCAGCCAATCTGCAATCCATCTGACTGTGTAGGCATCAATGCCACAGTCACCCAATTTTTTAATGAGGATGGGGTGGGAGATGGTGTCAAAGGCCTTGCTGAAGTCCAGAAAGGTAATATATAATATATGCCTAGATAATTTTTCATTGTTAGTGATGTCCCAGCCATGAAAATCAAGGCTAGTTTGTCTGTTGTCTTGTGCCTCATGCCATCGTTTATGTAGGAGTTCCAGTTATGCTAAGTTATAGTTAAGCTAAAGATCTGAAAAGGAGCTCAGGACGAACAGGCCACATGACTGCTGTATGTCCTAACAAAAAATGTAAAAAATAAAAACACACTAATGAGTGAAAAACTGACTCAAAGAAGGGAGGAGCATAAACAGTAATTGAATAGCTCAAGAAGTAATGTAAAAATAAGAACACATTAATGAGGCAGAGATAAAAAGAACTGAAGATGCAGGTGTGCAGACCTGGTGAAAGAGACAAGTAGAAATAAACATCTCAATATGTAGACAGATAAACTTTGGTGTGAGATTAGGGCATTTTGGGTATAAATACAAGGGCTACTAGATTTGTTTTTCATAGTGACCTTGGGGAGCGTGATTGATGTAGTGCATAACTATCTGTCACAAGCAAGATTCACTAAATTGGGCTGATTGTTTAACAGACCAGTTGGTGTACTGACCAAGTGACAGTAAATGTACCTGAGTTTTGTCACCGAACATGAAGTCAAATCCTTTTTTCTGTATCACCCATGGAATTTGGAAGGCTGCTTGCTAGCATCCACCTTCCAGAACGCACAGAGCCCAGCAGCCTGCATGTCCAAAGTGATAGCAGCAAAAAACCACCAGAGAAACCACTCCTATGCTTCAAAACAACCATTTGCACTTGTGAAAAATAAATATAAAGCACAATCGGATCAGAGTGGTATTTTTATATGTCTTTCGTCTCATTTTATGCAGGTGTTAATGAGTACAGAAATTTCAGGGAAAAATTAGATCCTTGGGATCCATAGCTATAATAAATGATAACATTAGCAGAAAATATCAATCTTCACCTCTCTGAATTGCTATTATATTATATTTGATAGGTCTCTCTAAGCTGATGGAAGCCAGTGAATCTGTAGCTAAACTCTCTCAGGAGCTGGCAGTTAAAGAGAAGGAACTGGCTGCAGCTTCTATAAAAGCAGATAAAGTGAGTACTGGAGTGCTAAACCCATTTCTGATCTATATCCATTACAAAAGTAGCAAAAAATAGCTTAGAGGACTACAATAGTGTAAAAGGTCTACAATCTTCCCCATGTCAGAAACCTCTCCATATAATAAGTACAAGAAAATAGTGTATGCCATTGTTTTTAGAAAGGGAGTGTGGTCTCAGCACATGATTCTGATTCTTCAGCACATCTTCTACAGTATCTGTCAGGCTAGGAACAGACATTCAAAAAGCCTGAGTCTGAATTGATTCACTCTTTGCAGGTAAGTCTAACCTGCCTAGGCTGAACCAGTTTGTAACTGTTCAGATATCCCCTCTGGACTGAAGAAATGCAGGCACATGCCTGCAGTGGCTCAGGCTAGAAGCCAAGTGGGGCAGGGGTAGTGGTGCTAAAGCAGCCCTCCCTTCCTATTGATAGTGCTGAGCTGAGGAAGGAGTGTGGCTATGCCCAGCAGGATGCTCTGGTTAGGGAGATGTTCCCCCATCCCCACCTTGCTGTTGATAAGAGCATTTAGTTACACAGCAGGAAGTTGCACAGGGAGTTGTTAGCATTTATCAGCCCATCAAACAAAACAAAAGGCTTTCTCATTAGTCTAAGCTCTTCTTAAACAGCTTTTTCCAAGGAAGGAATGGAAGAACATTACCAGCTATCTATTAATTAACTGCAGAAAGACCTAAGCCGACACTGTCCTATCTGCCTTTGTCCTGTTTCCCACAGCCCAGACCATAGTCAGCATGTGGTATGCTAGCTAATGCTGAGAGGTGTCTGTGTAAAAAAAAGAGGGAAGGGGGAATCCCACTTGAGCTGGGAGTGGTGGGAGGATGGTGAGCCAGGAGGAGGCCAGTCAGATGCCACTGTACCTGCAGTCTCTGCCAGAGCTCCAGCCAGGGAGCAGAGGTGAGGGGCCATCCCAGCCCTCTGGAACATAGAGCCCCTCCCAGGGCTGCAAAGCCTCTGGGATGCTGGGGGACTCTGATTTAACTTAAACCAGGAAAGGGTTTGGGACATAATTTGAATAAACCAGTTTGACCCAAATCAGTTAAGTCTGATACTACATTCAACCAGGTTTATCTCAGACTGGTTTCAGCCATTTTCAAACTGGTTTATGTGCACTGAACATCTGTTCTGTTACAGGTTTAAACCACTTTTTGATCATTTAAACTGGTTTATGTGTAATGTCTGTCCCTAGCCTTACTGGATCTCCTGAAGAAGCCCAAAGAATTGAAAGCTGCCACTGTTTGGTCAAACTCATGAGGGAGAGAAGTGGTAGGAGGGCTAAATAAGAAATAATTTTCCTCACATGCCCAATTTCTTTTTTTATCTCCATGAGCACTGGAGCTCATTTTTGGTCTCATTGACTTTGTAGTGCAACTTGCCTTGTGGCTATTAGTAGTAAATGTTTGGTTTATATATGTGTTTAATTAGGCAATTTGTTAATCGTTGGTAGCTGAGGCAGACATTCCTTTTCTTCTGGGAGAATCATCATTCTCCCAGTAGAAACTACAAGTATGCAGGTGTTCAGCCTGAGCAAAATTGGCTGCCCTAGGAGAAAAATAACCCAGGAACAAGTATGGAATGTCTCCTAGGAGAGTTTCTGTTAGAACACTGAATACCTGCATACTTTTCCACAGCTTAACTCTTCCTGGGGACCAGGTGGAGTGGAGCTGGGGGAAAGGCTCCCATGCCTTCCCAAGACCAGAGCTACTGCTCTAAAGAAGGCTCAGGGGTAGCTGCTCCCACTCATTTTGTAGACTGGGAGGAGAGAGGAGGAGCAGCCACCAGCTGTTCCCCACCTGTTTCTCACTCCAGAGTTCCTGATGTGAGAAGCTTTGCCATATCACTCCGTCTGCTCAACTGCCAGACACTGGAAGCAGAGCAATAGGGAGCAGCACAGCCCCCTGCATGCTTCTTACACTGGAGTTCTTAGTGTGAGAAGCAGTGGTGAGGGCGTAGGGAGTGGGGAAGGCCAAGGGAAACCAGCTATTTGGGAACCAAATTCAGGGAGGCTTTCCAAAGGGTAGCAGAACAAATCCAGGTCCCACTCCTTATACCGAAGTCCCAGGTATATGGAGTAAGCAGGGGCTTTGCCCCACTGCATCATCCCCTGGGCTCCCCAGCACTTGTAGAAATGAACATCTATTTGTGGCCTGAGTCAGTTTTATGTTAGCCAACTTTATCATTGTTCAGTTCTTAGCTGTAGCATACTAGATCCAGGAAGAAAGGTCAAATTTCAGTTGTTTGTCTTATATAATTTCAAAATATCCAAGTATTTCTGCATGATCTTGGTCTGGTGTATTATATATAAGGAAATTGTTACACTTTAAGGTTCTTAAATGTTGATTGTTGTTAGTGTTAGTTTGAATTTAGAGTAATTACGCTTTCAGGCTAAAAACCTTCTTTGACTCTCCTTGACCTATGTAGCTGTGACTTGCCACTAGAGAGCTGGCAAGTAGGGGCCTGACTAGGAGCTACCTTGTGAGTTGTCTACACAGAACAGGATGGGGCAGGAAGTGGACACTGCATCCTGGGATGATGGAGGACTGAAACTTTGGCAGCTTATCTCTGGGGAGTGGCCACACATTTGTGAAACACAAGCTGGGCAACATGGGTCAGACATAAACCTGACCTGGAATGGTGTAACTTTAAGGACACAGAGAAAAGTGACAATTTTCACCTGATGTAGCTGCAGAAAGCAGTCTATAGTTGTGACCAAACACAAGTGTGTGGCTGCAGACTGTTTTAAAAATGGCCCATTGGGCAAAACTTTGAACATTCATTGCATGAGTGGTCACATGAATATATTTCAAAAGTGTCTTCTGCATAGGCGGAGGGAGAAAAAAATTGGGCTGGGGGGGCTGAGCACGTGTGCACCCCCCCAACAGGTAAGTCTGTGGGGGAGGGGAGGAGGGAGTGGGGCTGGGACAGGGGCTGGGGCAGGCCCTGCACAGCCAGGGTAAGGCATGGGAATAAGCCACAGCTCATCCGGGGCTTGGGGAGGGGGGTGGTTCCCGCCACTGTATGTGCCACAGGAGGGCATGGGGGGGGCATGTGCTCCTGGATCTGCATGGAGCAGGGCAGGGCAGGCTGTCGCTGTGGGCTGGGGCTGCACCGGGCTCTTCCTGGTGGTGGCTGTGCTGCGTTGTGCTCAGGGCGAGTGGCAGTGGCACTGGGATGGGGGTGGAGGGACCACAGCAAATTTTGGGGTGGCTGCAGCCCCTCCCCCCCATAGCCCCCTCCCAGTTCCACGGCCGCCTGCCTGAAGCACAGGGTGGCCAAGCCCCACCCCTCTCCAGGAAGAGCCCAGCAACACCCTGGCCCCAGCCTGCAGCAGCACTCTGCCCTGCCCCATGCAGATCCGGGGACACATGCCCCCTTGCCTCCCGGGGTGTGTGTAGCAGCAGGAGCCGCGCCCCCCGGACAAGCTGCCCTAGGCTGCCCCAGGCTGCACCAGCACCACTCCCTCACTCACTGCTGCCTGTGCGCCCCACCCCACTCCTGCTGCAGCTGTGGGAAGCCCGTGGCCAGGCTGCATTGTGACCCTACTGCTGCCCTGTATTGCGGGGGGTGTGCCCCATTAGCCCCCTGCCTTCTGCTGCGTATGGTCTTCTGTAACTTCTGTCTGTGCTGCCTCCCAGCTTTGAGCTGTTTTCAGAATGGGAGAGGGGAAAGGGAGTGGAGGGAGTTCAGTCTGGGACTTTTACAGCCCTTGCTGGAGGGTGAGGTGGGTATATTGAAGCCCCCTCCCCGGCCCCCAAGGTGGAAGGGCTTCAGTACAGCCACCCCCGCCTCCAACACTGGCTGGGGAACCCCTAAAATGAGGTTCCTCTCCTCCCTCCCTCTCCTCATTTTGAAACAGGGACAAGCTGGGAGAGAGGAGGGGCAATTTCTGAGTGAAACTGGCTGCAAGTTCACAGCCAGCAGGTAGACTCCCCTCCTCCCTGAAACCAACAGTGAACTTCTGTTTGGTCCAGGTGATCATGGTAACTCAGAACACTTCCTGCAAAGCTTTCTGAGTTACGGTGGCGAGCTGCGCTCCTGTTTGAGCCCTAAGATGCCTAAAAGATGCTCAAAACTAATTTACACATCTTATTGTGTGGACAGTCCAGGGGTTAATTGCTCCCTGAGCTGACTAAAATTAATGCATAACAGTCCTAAGGGCAATTAAACACCATCTTTATAAAAGGGAATACAAATAACCTGATCCTGTTTTAATGAAAACGTTGCTACAGGTAAGTGGGTTACTTAAGTGGTTTAGTTGAGCCTCTGAAAGATACCTTCACACCTCTGAATGGAAGGTGCTTTCTTGAATTATGATATTGAAGGAAGGAGGAAAAGGAAGAACATGTTTTTGCTTTTACTTCAGCATTGACCCCTTTTATCCACTTAAGTAGACAACATTGCTTGTGTGAAGGATATAGGTATTGATTTGGAAGCAGAACATGCAATTTTCATATTTGTCACCTTTGACCTTCTAAGTTTGGTGACCTTTTGCAGGGGTATAGGTTGTAGCCATGATGGTCTAAGGGTATAGACAGACAAGGTTCTTGGGGTAAATCCAGTATCTTTGTTGCAGTTTTTGGTGTTCTTTGTTGCAATTTTGAAAAAAAAAGAAATGAACAAATAAGCAAATATAAAATTGAATAGAATCCAAACTGTGTAAGCAAGCTAACTTTAAATTGGAGACTCCGCTCATCAACTCGGGGGTTCCCATTGATACCAATACCATTATCAAGCAGACTTGATAATCTACAATAAGAATTCAAGAAAAATGCAGGCTTTTTAACATCTTGAACTTGGAAGAACCAAGGCAAAATCTCTCATAAACAAAGGTATACTTATGCCAGCAGAGACGTCTTGTTCCATCTGGCTTTATTTGTGTTGTGGCAAATACATTCACTTTACCAAGTGACAGAACAGTGCGGGGGGGAGGGGGGAGGCGCGGCAGTTATAATTAACCTGCTTTCTGTCAGCTTCGCATAAGTTTAAAGAAGGAAAGTATTTCTCCTAATCATCTGAAGAGACAACCTACAGTTTGGACCATAAAATAATGAGACCTTACTGTTCTGCAATAGCAGTCTTCTGTGTAGCAAATTAACTCTGCTTTATCTCTCCATGCATCTTTCTTAAGTCTCTGTTTTATTTTGTACATTCCATTCTTGCCAACCATCTAACCATGCCACTGCCTTTGAGTCAATAACTTTTATTGGTTTATGAAACATATGTATACATTATAGAAATCATAGTGATGTCCAAGCACAACTTCTACATTTGGGATTAGGCTTTTGAACTCTTGGATAGCTGCCCAAATAACAAAATCAAGTCCTGTGGTTCCAGGTATATTTCTTGCATAATTACGTGTGTGTGTGTGTGTGTGTGTATATATATATATAGATATAGATATCTATATATATATCTATATCATGTATAAGAAATGCTAAATAAAAACAATAGTTTAGATTCGGATTTCATTGTATTTGCAAAGTATTAATTCATTCCATTTTTTCATATTCTTTTTTAAATCCTAATGCTAGGTGCTGGCAGAAGTTACAGTAAGTGCTGAAGCTGCAGCTAAAGTGAAAAATGAAGTCCAGGGTGTGAAAGACAAAGCACAAAAGATTGTAGATGAAATTGATTCAGAAAAAGTAAAAGCTGAGACCAAATTGGAGGCAGCTAGACCAGCTCTAGAAGATGCAGAAGCTGCATTAAATGTGAGTAATTATTTTATATTTTCATGAATTTACTGGGCATTGACTCATATGTTGAAAGAACGATTAATTCTACCAGAACAAAGCATCATGTCATTTTGAGTTTTCATTCTGTTAATTTCATACTCAAACCTTTTGTTAGTAGTTGTGGAGCTCACATTTTACTTCCAAATGCATGCTGAATTCCTCTTTGAGAGGGACAACTTACAAAAGAACCATGGGAGAAAGAGGTGATGTAGAAAAATAAAGCAGGAGTAACTTATATAGGAGCAACCTGCTGCTTAAATTACTAGTAAGTGGGCATGTGTACATGGGATGCTACGTTGCTGTAGCTATGGTAATGTAGCATCAGCAGGCACTAACCATGACACCACCACTACCGCACAGTGGGGTTAGAAATGCTAAAGCAAGTACTAAATGACTGTGCAATACCAACCATGCAGTGGGGCACACATGTAGACGCACCCAGTATATAACAAGAAAAGGATTCAGACAATTGCAATTCAGAAAAAATCAAGCATCCTCTCCAAATTGAAATCCATTCTGATAATAGAATGAACCAAACTTGCAAAATCATCACACAAGATGCTCTTGTAAATTACATGCCCCCGGGCACATCTATATGAGATGCCAACTGTGCAGTAGCCAAATAATACTTTAGGAATAAATTCACTTGCTAGTTTTGAAATGGCCTTTTTGTTTAGCAGTACCCTAATTATTTGAGTGATTATGTATTTAAGCTGTACCCTAAAAGTAATACTAATAAAAAAGTCAAAGAGTAATGGCTCAGGACTTTAATAACTTTGCCAGGCAAGAAAAAATGTATTTGCTTTCACAGTAGTTGGCCATATTTACCAAATACTTACAAAGCCCATTTTCTAGCCTTGTGTATTGTATTGCCAAAAACATTATCCTGAAATATAAACTCTTAAAAGTGTAAACTACACATCTTTCTTCAATCTCTTAAAAGCTTAATTCCATAATGTCAGTATTATGTATTTTTAATTTTGATTTTCAGATCTGTTTCATTGCATTGACAAAATCTTTCTGAAATGCATATTGATTCAAATATATTTCAGCGGTATGGAATGGCAATGTTTGGTAAAATAATCCCAATAATTTATCTACCAGGCATTTATAAATCAAACTTCCCTCAATGAAAAGTGCATAAAAAGAATAACAGTAATAATAAAATGCTAAATGAAAAAGAACTTATTAAATAGTACTTGGGAAGTAATTCTACAGTAATTCTACTTTATTTTCCACGATACAGACCATCAAACCAGTGGATATTGCCACAGTTAGGAAGCTTGCAAAACCCCCTCATCTAATCATGAGGATCATGGATTGTGTTCTGTTATTGTTCCAAAAGAAAATAGACCCAGTTACGCTGGATCCAGAAAAGCCTTGCTGTAAGCCATCCTGGGGCGAGTCATTAAAAGTAAGTAGCATTTCTAAGCAAGGAGTCTTGAACAGTTTCTAAAAAAAATGGCAATATGAAAAAAATCAATGAACTTATATTCTAAATCCTTGTTCAAAATAGGGACATAGGTCTGTAAAAATGGACACAAACTTATAGTTGTACAGCAACATTAATATGCAGAAAGATTTGACAAAACAAGTCTTGCTACATATTTACTGTGATGTGTCTGTTGCTTAGAGATTTGTTGGGTAAATACAAAGTTGTGTCTAGACCCTTGTGATAAAATTGCAATGGATGTAAAACAAGGGGATATAGCATCTCTGTTCCCCTAATTCAGACTATTTCATTAGGTCAATTAATTTTAAAGTTTTGATAATAAAAGCCCTTTATTCCCTTGTTTTCCTAGGGTATGGTATTCTGTCCCTCTTCAGTAGCTTAAATTGGTTTGTTTTGGTTTGTTTTTTGCCTATTAGGGGTTGAAGTTGTGGGAAGAGAGGGGGGTTCCTCCTAGGGGTTGAAGTTCTCCAGGTAGGCAGTCCGTTTTATTTTCACCAGACCTTTGTCTTGAATATTTAGGCTTTTAGCAGAAACAAAAAAACAGTGCAGGCTGTGAAGTCTCCTTTCCCATTTCCCCATTTTTTTCTTGTTCAAAATAAGACCGGATAAAGCTAAGCTGATTTTGCTTGCCCCATCATAGATAAGAGAATGTTTTTCATACTTTACAAAAAATACAGTAAAAGATTTGTCTCCCTGTCAGGCAGCAAGGCACCAGGCTAATTAAATTGCCACTAGCTGGCCCTTGTTATCTGAGTGGCCTGGTTGTCAGTGGCTTAACTCTCACAAGTTGGCACCAGTTGTCTCAGGTGTGGCTTACCACTTTGAAGCAGCAGCCCTTTTGGTGTCCAGCAACCTAGTCAGCAAGATTTGTTTAGCTCTACACTTTTGGATTTTCTGCTCCCAGTTTCCTAGGTCTTGCTTATTTGTTCCTAGTGTCTTTGGTCCTACTTGTGAATTCCTAGCTTCCTTTGCCCTGGGTCCTGCTTCCTGATTTAATCCTGGTTCCTGCTGACCTGTTCCCAGTTCCAGACTCTAGCCCAGACCCTCTGTACTTTCAAGACTACCTTGCCAGCTCATTGATCCATTGTGCTTCTAGACACCTGTCCTTTGACAGCCAGCTTCTGACTCATGGCTTAGATAGGTGATTGCCCATCAGCTACAGCAGCCTGCTTCAGACCCCCTGGCTAGTGACACCAGCCTGGATCCCTACCCTCATTCTGCCTGACCTCCTTTGGCTTGTGGTTCTACCCAGGGGGTGACTGCCTACCTTTTGCTCCCTTATAGACCTTGGCTTCCTGACCTGCCTGCTTCTGATCCCCTGACCCTGGCTCTAGTATGGATCCTTGCTTCCCTGACCTTGCTGGTTCCTGATCCCCTGTGCTGTGACTCTCAATGGGCTTAAGCCCCAACTGCCTGTGTCCCAGGTGTGCCCCTGACACTCCCAATAAACACAGATTTGAGTTTGCAAAACAGTTGGTTTTACCATCCTAACCCCCAATCGTAACAGCATGGAATATAGGACACTAATAGACCTAGAAACAGACCTGGCTCAAAACAGTTTTCGAGATATTCCTCCCTATTACAGAAGAAATCAGTCCACAGATTCTGAGTCCTTAAATGGGAAGTTTTCCTGTTTGAGCAAATAGGCTGCATCAACTTTGATCCATATGTAAGTAGTGCCTTCATTTATAATTCTTAAATGCATGTTGTTTAGAAAACTTTTGAGGTCTCTTCCAACCCTATGATTTTTATGACTCTATCATTAAGAAAGTACAGCTGGCAGTTATTTTGTGCTCCATCTACTAATGCTAACTTAGTTGAGGGATTCATGAAGGGACTTAGGAATGTTTGCCTTCCAGTCGAGAACACAGTATCAATATGGGACTTCAACCCAGTACTTATTCCACTTACAAAAATCTTTGAAAGACTGGTGCATATTTCATCTTTTAGTTAAGAAAACTTTCTTTGGGGACGTTAAATCTACTAGAAGAGCAAGCAAACTACAGCCTCAGATAGATGACTGATCCTTCATTTACAGTCTTTCACTAGGACAAAGTGGTCCTAAGGCTGCAGCCTAAGCTTCTTCCCAAGTGATAACAGAATTCTACCTCAGTCTTAACTAATCCAGTAATTTGCCAGTTTTTTCCTTCAGACCTGACTCATACAGGTGAAGCAAAATGAAACACCTTAGATATGAAGAGAACTCTAGGTTTTTATTTAAAGTGGCTTGAGGAATTTGAGTAATCATCACTTTATTTCATATGAAGATAATAGTAGAAGACAAGCTATTACCTCGGTGTCTGTCTAAACAAGGCACACACATTTCTATACAAAGGTCTGAGAAACATCTTCTCACAGGACTTGGATCACATTTCTGAAGACCAAATGCAATTTCTTTGGCATGTTTTAGATGTGTACTGATTTTAAAGATCTGTAAAGCTGTTTTTTGGAACTCAATTCACACTTTAAAAAAATAGTGCTGACCAAGGATCCAGGTTTTCTGTTTGCTGTGGAAAAACACAGAAAAGTGCACATTTCCTTCTTTAATGGATTTTTTCCTTTAAAGGGTAAAATGGTTAAAAGGTCTGCAAGGGGCTGCTTGGGGCTGAGGGGAGCAGGATGCTGGGTGTGTCATGTGCATGTGTGCATACACATGCATGTGGGCAGCCAGGCAGTGGTGGACAGCAGCTCCCACAGCTCCCTCCAGGTAAGTCTATGGGGGGGGGGGACACAGGTGATGCATTGGTGGGGAGCACAGATGATGT